GGTCTTCGCGACTAGATTCATAACACTCAAGAATATTTCCTTCTTCAACATTGTGAGTATTGTGATTTACAAAATTCAAGAATGCGTTTTCGTTCTCATTGACCACTCGCTCGCTGACCACCCTCTCACTCACCACTCTTTCACTCACCACATTTGGCGTTTTCCGTGGCCTTCCTCTTCCCCTGCACGGTTGTTTGGTCCTCATGATCTACTAACAAACTTCAAAAAATTTAACAAGGAAAGAAAGAAAGAAAAAAACAACATCAGTAAGCAAATCAGACTACAATATCTAATTAAGAGCAGTAATTATAAGCTTGGAAGATCGAAAATTGTTCGATTCGTTCAAATGAGAAAACAAAAAACGTTCGGGAAAAATTAAGCATGTTGTTACCAAAAATGTTAACATCTAAGTCACAATCTGAGCAGCATTGAAAGCTTAAGAACTTCCATTTCACTTCAAACCCACCAATACGCATACCACCAAAAAAACACGCATACTCTTTAGATTTAAGTTTATCTGAAGCAAAAGGAAGGGGAGAGAGAGGGAGAGAGAGATAGAGAAAGTGACCTTTTTCCTGGATGAACTGAATCGCAGAAATTAGGGTTTGGAATAGCTGGCCATTTGGGGATTAGGGTTTTGAAAATCTTGCTTTTTCTCTGGAGTCGGGGTTTGCAGGTAGTAGCACAAAGAATCGTGGCTATAGCTGCAATACATCACGGTAGTACATTATAAAACAAATGAAATGGTATCATCACGGCAACAACCATGGTTACTTTATATACATCACGGCAATAACCATGGTTACTCTTTAAAACCACGAACCACATTCAAGTGGCAATTTTTAAAGAAGCTGTCTTCACAGTTTGACGCTTAAAATGTCACTGTGCACTCCAAATTCGATCAAATCTAAGTTTATTATATGAGTGATGTTGGAGAAATCATCTATATGAACTATAATTCATAAATTTATTGTGTCAATTGATGATTGGATTTTTAAAAATATAGTCTCTTTAATATTTCATCAAATATTGTAAGTACTAATTACTAACCTTAAAATAAGGGTAAAATCTTGCACTTTCTCTTATTTTAGTTGGCATCGTGGATCCAGGTTGTACCATCAAATCTAGTGCAATTGTGTTCAAGGCCTTCAAAACATTGTTGAAATTTTTGCTTGTTGAAATTTTTGCTTGTTGTAAAATGTGACCGGCGAAATGTGTCCCGAGTTTGGCAATATCAAGAATTTTGACCAATAGTGAGTAGAAATGTAGCAACCATTTCTTCAATACAAATAAATCTTGTACCCTTCAAATGCGTCTTTTCTGTAAGGACGTTGCATAACTTTAAGAAAATATCTAGATACATTCTATATAGCACTCGAAATTCTTGAGGATCCTTATTCAATACCTTGTTAATATAATCGTATCCAGTTCTACTAATAGGTCGTCGAGCCAATGGACGTTCAATATGATCATCATGTATAATAACCATTAATGCATTTAGCACTTGAACTATTGCTTGTACTGCCATCAATAGTAACTTAATGGCTTCATGATACTCTTCATCTTCTCTTTCCATTTCCTCTTCACACATACTTTCAGACATTATATAAAGAATCACCTAAAAAAACAAAACTATACCATTAGAACATAATAGAGAGAAAGGTAAAGAAATAAACTACTTCTTCTATCATTTAAACCAAAGTCAATGTATTATCAAACAAATTAGATACTCCAAGATCAAATTTGAAATAACCAAACCAAAGTCAACATGTTATCAAACAAAAGTAAATACTCCAAGATGTAAACAAATGTAAAATAATTGCATTCACTCCATATTGTATTTTATCCATTCTGAGTGTTCTTCTGGTGTCATTTTCAAGAACTCTTTTTTCATTCCCAATTTTTGAACCAACGCAACTGCTTTGTAATGACTAGGAGCATCCAAGTTTGGAATCTCTTTGATAGCATCCCAAACATTGTTGTTTTTCTCTTCTTATTTTTTCTCCATTTCTTTTTTTTTTCTCTATCTTTTTCTCTTTTCTCCATTATGCTATGAATTCCTTGAATTTCAGTGGCAATTGCAGCAATCGAATCCATTCCAATATAAACTTTTTCCATAAGAAAGATATGAGAGGTAGTCCCTTTTAATTTTGGTTCAGACTTAGGTCGAGATCTTTTCCTTGGAAGTAGCTTTGGTATAGGTGGAGCAGCGGGAGCCTCAAAATTTGCATCTAGGAAAGATGATGCATAGGATGGCATTTGGAATAATGGATCAAGTTGCTCGACGTTCTTATCAAAGAGAGGAAATTCGTCTAATCTGACTGACTGGCCTACTTTCTTCAACTCTATATGTTATGGCATTAGTATCATCACCCAATCCAATTGATTATTTCCTTTAGCTGTCCCATCACCAAAAATAGTCATCAAATCTTCATAGTCTACAAATGTCTATTTGCAAATACCTTGACTCTTTGGGTAAAACTAGCAAAAACAAAAACATAATAAAATTGTTAAATACAAAATGTATAAACATGAAAGATCATCATGTGTAAATAATATATTCTTTAAATAAATAAATAAATAAATAAATAAAACTCACCCTAAGGAAACATTCTCATACTTCATCACTAGCTGTGAGCTTCTTTGTGACATGGTCCCAACTAACTCCAGAACTGTGTCTAAAAAGCTGGCAAATTGATTGAAATCGACCCTTCAATGTTTTCATATGGTTCTTAACATGATCTTCAATTTTTTTACACCCAAGTTTTTCATTGAGCACGGGAACAATTTTGGCTTCTATGGTCTGCTTGCTTATTATGCCATTAGCATCACGCCATCCATTGTTTATGGCCTCAACAAGTAGCTGTAACAACATGTTGTTCTCTTGCATAGACCACTGATAGTTTCCTTTTGTCTTTTCTTGTTGTTAATCTCCCATTTATAATCTTACTAGATGATGCATTATAATAAAACAATGAGACATGAAAAAAGCATAAATGACTATAAAAAAAGACTGAATGATTGTTTCATATTAGATTAAAGAAATCATCTCAACAGATTGACATATTAGCTTAAAGAAATCATCTCAACAGATGGACATATTATTTATTGATGCACAAAACAGGAGGGGTATTGGAACAACATAAATCCGACCGTGAATTTGCAAGAAAGTAAAGAACACAAAATGTATTGTGGTTCACCCCAATGTTTGGGCTACGTCCACACTGATGTTGATATTGTTTCACTATGAATGGTGAATATACAAGAAGGCTAGAGGCAGTGTGCTCTCTAGCCTATTTTCTGTGTTTGCCCTCTCTGAGATGTTTTCTCTCTTCCCATGGCCTAAAAGTTTGACCTCTCCCAATGAGGAGAGTGAGGAGTCCTTTTATAGAATAAGGGCTCCTCACTTATTACATATTTGCCCCTTCATTTATTACATAATTACATTTGAGTCCCCCGAGTATTTATATGAGGTCTAAATACGGAGACCCTAAATATGGTACAAACAGTAGTCCCTCAAGTCTTCAGTCAACAGAGTTTTTTGGCTGGAGATTTGAAATTCAGTCTATGTGTGGGCCGAAGTAACTAGATGTCGTCTAGAACTGATACTCGATATGAGGCGGTGCTCAATGTGAAATGATGCTCAACTAGAAGTAGCACATGTTGCGAGGCTACTCGGCTTGTGGCTTATGTTGCCTTGGTTGGCTCGGCTTGTGGCGTTGAAGGTGAGGGAGTCCTTTTTATAGAATAAGGGTTCGCTCCTCAATACATAAATGATGGGCTAGAGTTGATGCTCGCGGTGAGGTGGTTGCTCAGCAGGTGGCGATGCTATCTAATGATGGTGATGAAGTCCCTTTTATAGAATAAGGGCTCGCTCCTCAATACATAAGTGATGGGTTAGGAGTGATGCTCGCGGCGAAGCGGTTGCTCAGCTGGCAGCGATACTCTCTAATGAAGGTGAGGGAGTCCCTTTTATAGAATAAGGGTTTGCTCATCAATACATAAGTGATGGGCTAAGAGTCTTTTTTCTAATGAAGGTGAAGGAGTCCATTTTATAAAATAAGGGTTCACTCCTTAATACATGAATAATGGGTGCTCTCTAATGAAAGTGAGGGAGTCCCTTTTATAGAATAAGGGTTCGCTCCTCAGTTCATAAATAATGGGCTAAGTCCCCCAAGTTTTTTTTTCATGAGGCCTAGTTGCGGAAGCCCAATATATGGTACATAGTGTAGTTCCCCAAGTCTTCAGTCAACCGAGTCTGTTGGTTGGAGACTTCAAATTCAATCCATGTATGGGCCGAAGTGGCGGTTGTTCGGAGGTGGTCTTTGTATACAATTCACTGAAGCTTTGTAGGTGAAGCTTTGAAAGTGAAGTTTTATAGGTGAGGCTTTGAAAGTGAAGCTTTGAAGCTAGAGCTTTTGTAAATGAAGCTTTGAAGTCGGAGCTTTGTAAATGAAGCTTTCGAAGCTGAAGCTTTTGTAAATGAAACTTTCGAAGCAGGAGCTCTTGTAAATGAAGATTTCGAAGTTGGAGCTCTATAAATAAAGCTTTCGAAACTGGAGCTCTCGAAGCTGGAGCTCTGTAAATGAAGCTTTCGAAGCTAGAGCTCTGTAAATGAAGCTTTCAAAGCTAGAGCTCTGTAAATGAAGCTTTCGAAGTTGATTGACATGAGTGATGCTCATGAATGTTTATGTTGATTGACATGAGTGATGCTCATAGATGTTGACATGAGTGATGCTCATGAATGTTGACATGAGTGATGCTCATGAATGTTTATGTATGATTGACATGAGTGATGCTCATGAATGTTTATGTATGATTGACATGAGTGATGCTTATGTATGATGGTGATTGTCATGAGTGATGCTCATGAATGATTTTTTGGAGGACATGTTGTACTTTTGATCACCTGGTTGGTGATAATAACGACAGGCTACTGAATAATTTTGGAGTACTGGACGTACTTTTGATCACCTAGTTGGTGATAATAGCGGCAGGCTGCTGAATAATTTTGGAGTACTGGACGTACTTTTGATCACTTGGTTGGTGATAATAGAGGGTGAACCTTAAGTGGAGGGATGAATGTTGGAGTTTGAAGCCATAGAGCCTGGCTCTTTTGGGTATATGGGCCTTCGCCATCCACATAACCTTCCAGCCCACTATTTTGGGCTTGCCGACATTTTGCCTTTTTTTTGTTTTGGCATGCTGTATTCTTTCTTTATTTATGATTACCCTCTGGTGGGGTTATACAGATGTCTCCAAAAGATAAGAAAAGTAAATCACATCATTCAAAAAAGCTGCTGGGAATTGGCAACAACGAGATTTCTCCCTTCACATTAACCTCAACGGTCCAGCTGTTAGAGGAAACCTTCACGTGGAGGCAGGTTTGGTTAGCAGGCATGGTCTCTCATACTTTGATAGTACAATCCTGAGAGCCCATATATATGACACCGTTTCCACCCTATTTTACACAATTACTGTAAGTGTGTGGCCACTAAGACATATAATAGATTTCCTCAACGTAGCATCCCATATGCGTGCATCACCATCTTTGCTAGCACTTACAAAGCGTCGACTCGGAAAGCTAAGGTGGACTGGTTCCCAAGAAGCGAATGTCCGAGCAAGTGGGTGTCCGGTCAAATAAGAGATCACCATGAGCATGTGGCTCATCAGTTTATAAGTTGGTAGACTTCTTTAATCAGCAACAATGTTGATCAGTGGATCTAGTT